TTCCACGCTGAGCCGTCACCACTTCCGGTTCACGCATAGCGCAGCAGCGATGTACTCGGTACCAACTGCCAAAAGCCCTGAACCGATGTGCCCATTCTATCTATAGACTAGACTAGCCTAGACTCGACCTAGACCGGACTGACTGACCGACCGGTACCGTTTCTGTTTCGGCCTCTCGGCCTCTGCCGGACCCGGCTATAGGCTATAGGACCGTCTATCAGAATAGGCCCTTAGGACCTGTCTGTCCTAGGGGTAGCCCGGGCCCGCTATTCGCAGTTAGGGTAGCTGTAGGGAATTCTGTTAGTACCGGGCCTGCATTTTTCCCGAATTTGCAGATATGTCCCTCACGAATTTCCCTCACAGGTAGGTCTCTCGGTTAGCCCTCAGCCAAACGAAATTACGAATCTATCCTACCTATAGTACAGCCTCGACAGAGAGAGGCTACAGGCGACCAGAGAACAGCAAGTCATTGCACTGCTGCGTTGCTGCGCTAGTGTCTGCATGGGCGCTGCTTGCCGGACGTGGGCATGGGCACTGAGGTGAGGGGCGCTGCTGAGGCAGCAGGTGCGCAGCAGCCATAGCCGGGCTGCAGGGGCGCAGGCGGGTGATGGCGAAGGTGGTCTTTGGGTAGGAGGCGCATGAGGTGGGAGACGAGGGGTGATGAGGAGAGAGAGAGAGAGAGAACGTACCTGGTGTATGCTGGTGGTCGGCATTTGTGTTGACGTCATGTACAGTGGTCTTCGACTTCGATGTGATCGTGTTGCAAGAACGTAGATAGGTAGATGGGCTGAGTAGAGTAGGCTGGGCGCTAGGCACCAGACAGTAGGAGCTACATTGGATACAGTGTTGTTGTGGCCAGGGAGAGTCGGCATTGACACTCAGGTTCATTGTATTGCTCTTATTTGGATGGAATCTTGGTGCATTGTGCTCCCTGCTTGGTACATAACTATCTGGACTACTTCGTGATTTTGCAACTTGGTTATCTGTCTATCGCTCTTGCTCATATTCCTTACAATGTGCTCACGGTGCCATCAATTCTGCTTTCAGTTTGGTCTACTCATGCTTGGTCTCCAATGAGTTCTGGTGGTCATACCAAAGCTTAGGGCTAATACTGTTGTTGTCTAGATTGAGTGGCGGTGTGCAGAGGGCTTTCATTATCAAGAGACTTCAGTGTTCAGTTTGCTCTTGCATTCGTGTGCTCACAGCCTTGTCAATTGTGCTTTTAGTTCGGTCAATTCATGCATGATCTCCAATGAGCTCTTGCTGCTCAGAATTTTCGTGTTCTCACATGCTGGTTCCTCACATTTGGTTAAAAAGAAGGGGGGGGAAACGGTTATCTGTTTATCAAACTTTATCCACAATCAAGTTTTATGTGTACTTCTCAGCCATCCATGTTGCTGGGGTACACAAATTTGGAGGTGGTCTTCTTGAAAGTGAGCTTTGGTAAACAAAGTCACATGGAATTCCAGACGGATTGTTGTTGTTGTTGTTGTTGTTGTTGTTGTTGTTGTTGTTGTTGTTGTTGTTGTTGTTGTTGTTGTTGTTGTTGTTTTTCCCAGACCGACCGCTATGCTGATTGTTGTTAGTTATTGTTACCCCTTTTTTTGAATGTTGCTTTGGGGGCTCGGTTGGTTGAGGGGTGGGGGGGGGCCTGTTTTTTTCCCTAGATTGGTGAGTATGAGAAGGCTATCGCGGACTACACTGAAGCATTGAGAGTTTTACCCAAAAATGGATATGCCTACTACAACCGAGGCATAACGAGAGATCGCCAGGTATGCTAAACAAATCAGGTCAGTGTCAGTGCAATGCAGCAGCCTGCTGCTGCTGCTGCTGATGGTGGTGGTTAGATCTGAGCCACAGATTGAGAATTGCTGGGGAGGGGGGGCGAGGGGGGGGAAGGGGTGTTGTACTTGTAGAGCCTGCAACAGGGGGCTGTAGCTGTACCCAGCTGTACCCAGCTGTACCCGTCAGGTCTGAGTCAACTCTGGTTATCTATAGATTGTATTGGCCGCGCGTGGACGAGTACAAAAAGATGACTGTCGGTAGGATGAGTATGGGTAGGTACGGGCGGTTGGGGAATGGGTTTTCATGACCTCCGAAAGACCCATAGTCATGTGTTACTAGGCTACTAAAGGTTGCTATCGATATGGTACTGTATTGTTACAATATAACAATCCATGTTTGGGTCCATCGTATCACACATGCCCTAGGTATAGTGGCTCCACAGTCATGCAGGGGTGGGGTGGATACCACGACCGGTATCGTTCCACTTCTGTACACCATGTCAAAGAGACTTGCCTCTTGTGGCTGAGGGTGTTAGTTCGATTCTGTGCATGCATCCAATGTCAGAAAGTACTCCACTGCGAGGCTCCTGGGAACCAATGAGGAAGAGCTTCGTCTATGTGGCCAGGCTATGAAGCAGCGGCGGGTCATGTGCTGGTGACGAGCAAAGTGTGCGACAATTGGCTGTGTATGGGCGGAGGGAAGTCCTGTGTGGTGTTGTGTGTGGTGTGAGTGAGTAAGGACTCTACGACCATGCAGGGGTGGGGTGGATATCACCACCGGTATGGTTCCACTTTTATACACCGTGTCATGGCTGTAGTGCTGAAGAGACTTGGCCCTTGTGTTTGAGGGTGCCGGTTCAATTCCGTGCGTGCATGGATGAATCCAAGGTCAGGAATCACTGATAAAATTCATAGTTGCTCATGGCTACTTAAACTACCAGTACCCCGCCCGCCTTCGGAAAAAAATACGAGTTTCGTGCACGAGCGCAACTTTCGAGGGTTGGTGTTACATGCCCAGTTGGGCGATGTACATATAAACTGAGGATCCGCAAGGTGATGAAAAGGATTGAATGGATAATGCAGTGCAAGTGGAATCTCAACAAGCAATGTGCATTCCGATACATACAAAATGGTGCTTTATAGCGCAGGGAAGACTTTAGATACAAGTCCTGACCTGACCGGGACTGACCTCTTTCGCGTAGTACAAGATAGCGCAGCAGAATACTAGAATACTAATGACTAGCCCAATCAATGTTACAACATAGACCAAACATACATCATTCTAACCAGACGGTGTGAAGGGAGCCTGGCGCTATACACAGGAAGAGGCGCCAGGTCCAGTTCACTCACAGACGAAGAGGAGGGGATCAGACGGAGAAGAGGAGGGGAGAGATGGGAAAGTCGTCAACACCAAGTCTCGTTACAAGTCCCAAATAATCCCTCGTCAAAATGTCTGAAGTCCAATGTCGAGTCTGGATCCAAATGTCACCAAGCTCTCTCTCTCTCTCTCTCTCTCTCTCTCTCTCTCTCTCTCTCTCTCTCTCTCTCTCTCTCNCTCTCTCTCTCTCTCTCTCTCTCTCTCTCTCTCTCTCTCTCTCTCTCTCTCTCTCTCTCTCTCTCTCGCGCGCGCGCGCGCGCGCGCACGCATAGTCTGCTGATGCAGTGCAGTCAGATAACGAGAGGTTGAGAGGGAGATGGTGGACTGAGAAGAGGAAGAAGAAGAAGTCTCTCTCTCTTGTATGCCAGGTACTAACCTGTGAAGGTGGCACTGTGTTGCAGGTACCTCAAAGACGAAGCTGGAGCGATGGCACTGCAGGTAAGTCCCTCTGGCCTCAGCCCAATCTCTCTCTCTATAGTACTACTCGAGCTGCTATGGCGCCCAGCGCTGAAGACTACAGCTAACGCTACTAACGCCCAGCGCTGAAGACTACTGCTAACGCTACTACTACTCCTACAGCGCTCCTCCAGAGTGCTGCTGCCGAATCCTGAAGACTACCTCCTGCCTCCTGAATTGCACGTGAAGTGCCTGGGAAGTACTTAGGAACAACCTGCCTGCCTGCAGGGCGGGCCAGTCCTATATAGTGCTGGCCCGTCCAGGAGGCTGCTCTTGCCAATGCCGAAACGTGCCAGACTCTGGCGTTGAAGCTCAACCAGGGGTTGTCTTGAAAACAGGCCAGAGATGGCCTGTGCTAAAACCCTGGTTTGTTGCCTGAGTTTCAGGGCAGGTCGAACTGACGAGGGCCCGAAAATGGCCCTCAGTTTCAGGCTGAAAACACTCAGGGCCGGAAAGGCCCTGATTTGACCTGAAAAGACACAGGGCCTGTAGGCCCTTGTTTTTAGGCTTTCAGGCTGAAACGACACAGGGCCTGTAGGCCCTTGTTTTCAGGCTTTTGGCCTGAAAACGTCACGGGCCTGGAAATGGCCCGTGCAGCCTGGTGCAGGTGCAGCATGTTACACCCCCCCTCCTTATGAAGTCAAGCCGGGTTGAGGCGAAGCTGACGATCTGAAGGTGGAACCTGGACGCGGGTGCGACGTGGAGCCGAAGATACCGGCTTGCCTTGCATTTTGTGTTCATAGCGTGCGATAACATCTGGAGCTGTTGCTTGGAGTTCCGCACGAGTCAACCAACGGTCAACTTTGTGAGTGCAGTACGCAAAATGTACCAAGTACTCGGTTGGCCTGTTGCCGTAGCGTCGCTGGGAGATGATGTCGCCGACCTCTTGAAAACCGTCCATAGAGGGTGGGTCTTGCGATCGTCGCGCGGGAAAATCGTCATTTTCCACTGGCGTGTAAAGAGCCAACTTGGAGCAATGAAAGATTGGGTAGACGGGCAAGTGGGCGGGCACCTGAATGGTGAAGGAAGGTCCTTCGGGTGCATCCCCAACGGGTGCCACGATCGACCAGGGCCCCATCCATTTCGGGAGGAGCTTGCGAGAGATATCTTGTTCAAGGCTGAATTCCGCGGCGGAAACCCAAACGAGATCGTTGGCGCGGAATGGGCAAGGACGACGTTGGCAATTGGCCTGTTGGCTCATGCGTTGCTGCGTCTTAGCCATCTAGTCGCGTGCCTTGACAAGTAGCTCTTGCATTTGACGCAAGAAAAGAAGATGGTCGTCGCTCTCGGCCGTTCGTGGAATGATTGTGCCCAACGGAGAAGTGACCGGCGAGCCTTGCTCGAATTCAAAGGGCGACATCCCGATAGCCAGATGAATGGACGAGCTGTATGGCAAATCGAGATCCGACGGCCGCTCAACCCCATCCTTTTGGTCGGGAGAGATGACAGTGCAAAGGAGAACCTGTGCGGTCTAATGCGCCCTCTCCGTTTTGCCATCAGTTTGGGGGTGGCGAGCCGAACTCGGCTTGAGAGATGAGCTCCATCGTTTGATGAGTGCCGACCAAAAAGCGCACATGAACCAAGTGTCGCGGTCACAGACGATTTCCTTGGGGTAACCCTTGGTTCGAATCCAACCGGCGTAGAGAACCTCGGCCAACTCTGGTGCCTTGGCATGATAGCGGCAAGGCAAAAACATGGTGAACTTGTTGAATCGGTCGACCACCGTGAGAATCCCATCCACTCCGGTCTTGTGCTTGGGGAACGGGCCAGTAATGTCCATGGCAATCGCTTCCCTTCGCCGCAAAGGGACCGGTAATGGTCGCAACTCACCGTATGGATGATGGTTGCGGGATTTGCATCGTCGGCAAACCTCGCGTGACTCGCAATAGCGTGTGACGTCGCCGAGAAGGCCGGGCCACCAAAATCGCTCGCGAAGTCGGCCAGTCGTGTGATTGACTCCAAAGTGTCCGGTGGCGGGAGCATCGTGGAACTCGTCAAGAAGCCGTATACGCAAGTGAGGGTCACTCAATATGCAAAGAAGGTCCTTCCCCCGTGTGTGGACAAGCAAATACCCCTCTTGGATCTGGTAGTGAGAAGGCGCCGGATTAGGAGAGGAGCAATTCGCGTACTTGTCGCGAAACTCGGGGTCGGCTTGGTAGCCGCGGATGAAGCTGTCCCGCAGGTCGTTGTCGATCTCGAAGGTTGAATAGATTGCGGTACAATGATCCGAACGTCGTGAAAGAGCATCCGCAAAACGGTTCGACTTCCCCGGAATGTGATCGGGAAAGAAGTCGAACTGGTTGATGAAACCATCCATCGAGCGATGGTGATGTTGATGGTGTCTTGGGTCTTAGCCGCGGATGAAGCTGTCCCTCAGGTCGTTGTCGATCTCGAAGGTTGAATAGACCGCGGTACAATGATCCGGATGTCGTGAAAGAGCATCCGCAAAACGGTTTGACTTCCCCGTAATGTGATCGGGAAAAAAGTCGAACTGGTCGATGAAAGCCATCCATCGAGCGATGGTGATGTTGACGGTGTCTTGGGTCTTGTGAAAGACCAACGGATTGTTGTCCGTTACCCATCGGAATTGACTTCGACCTAGGAGGAAGTGCCGCCACCACTTGAGTGGGCGAAGGCGAGGAGCTCCTTGCGTGCATCATCAATGGAATGCACGATGGGCACTTTCTTGCTGAAGTACTCGACCGGGTGCTAGTCCACGCCATCGTGTTGCTTGAGGACGACAACAATGCAATGGTCGGATGCATCCATAGTGACGCGCGTTGGCAATAGCGGGTCGTATATGCGCAAGACCTCCGCAGATAATAACGCGGCTTTGAGAGCCAAAAATGATTCCCTCGCATCCTTCCCGAAGTCAAACGGCCGATCCTCGCATTGAAGTTTGGTCAAGTGGGCTGGGATCTTCGAGTATCCCTTGATAAAACGTTGGTAGTAGCCGGCAAGGCCAAGGAACGAACGGACATCCGTGACTTTCCGTGGCTCCGGCCACTCTTGGATGGCTTGAATCTTGTCCGATAGCGGACTGATGCCCTCCGGGATGACAAAATGGCCCAAGTATTCCAGCTCTTGCCGGACAAATCGCACTTGTCGCGGTTGGCCTTGTACTTGGCGCGGCGGAGCGTCTCCAACACTCGTTGAAGATGCTCAAGATGATCCTCCAATGACCGGCTATAGATGAGAATGTCGTTTAAGTAGACCAGCACGAACCGGTCCAACATCGCACGAAACTCGTTGGTCATTGCCGCTTGGAAGGTCGTTGGGGCGTTGGTGAGGCCAAAAGGCATGACCACCCACTCAAAATGCCTATACCGCGTCTTGAACACGGATTTGTAACGATCGTTTGGTCGGATCGAGATTTGATGATATCCCGACTTCAAATCCAACTTAGAAAAATACTTTGCGCCGCCCAATCGCTTAAGAAGATCGTCGATGTGAGGAAGAGGCCCCTCATTCTTGACGGTTTGCACATTGAGCTTGCGGTAGTCGATGCACAATTGTAGATCCTTGTTCTTCTTCGTACGAAAAGAACTGGCACTCCATATGGAGAGCTACTAGGGCGGATCCAACCCTTGTCCAACAAGTCGTCGAGTTGCGCGTGGAGGACCGTAAGCTCCTCCTCGCTCATGCGGTAAATGCAACCTTTCGGCGGCACGACACAGGCCTCAAGAATGATCTTGTGAGAGATCGGCCGATCAGGCACCACACCGGTAGGTGACTCGAAGATGTCGGCGAACTCGTCGAGCAACCGCACCACACGGGGGTCCGAAAACAAGTCAGTGGGTGAAGCGTCAACTACCGCGACGGTCCGTAGGAAACATAGGCCGAGTTCGTCGGGCTACTCGTAAGCACAAGTAGCCCGGAATGATTTGGCCGTCATCAGTTATCACCAAATCGAAGGGTGCGGAAGAGGAATAGTACACGACACTTCGGCACCTAAGGCATTGCGAACGGTAAGAGTCTGCCGGTGGAAGTTGACCGTGTGATCCGCACTTGCAAGCCGAGGCATTCCCAAAATAATGTCGAAGTCCGTGTCCCAAATGTCAAATGTCACCGGTTCGCATGCATGAGGTGCGAAATACACCGGTACGGCCTCGATGTAGCGGTCGATAAGTTGCTGCGTCCTTCCGTCCGCCAACTTGATCGCCGTCGGGTTTGCCTTCCTTCGAACTTGTGCGCCAAGGCCAGCCTTTTGCATAAAGGTCTGTCTCATAAAATTGTGAGACGCGCCGCTTTCCAGCAAAGCGCTGCAGGATGCTTGCCCAACTTGGATGCGGACATAGAGGAGCGTTGTGTTGTTGTCGTCGTACCGCTGATTGCGAAACTTGTGGGCCACCTTGGTGACATATGCAAGGATGTCCCCCACCGCGACTTCGTCATCCGTCGACGAAGTTGGTGGTGCATAGAAGGATAAGTACGTGTGAAGATGAGCACATAGTGTTGCGCATTGCGGTCCCTGCAAGCGGCTCGTGGTGGGGAGAGGAAGCCATGCGAAATCCTCGGACGTGAGCGGGTCCAATACCTCTATGTTGAACTCGCGCGCCGAATCCCGTGAAGAACCACTTGAAAACGATAAGTCGTCGCTCCCGGACGGAGAAGATGTCGCACACACGTCTTGTCCTTGAGCAAGAGTACCCAGCGTAGGAACGAGCCGGGCAGCACAGTCCTCAAAAGCTGTGTAGCACACCGAACATGTTCGGAGCTTTTCCGAACGTCCGAACATGTTCGACCGAACATATAAAAAAAATAAAAAAAACTTTTGTTTTCTGGTTTTTGATTTTTAACTCGAGTTTGGTTACGAATTTGAGCATACCTCCAAGACAAAAGTTGTTTGTATTATTATTTTACATCACATATATTTTTTTTTAGATATTTTGGAGAACTTTCTTTTTTTTTTTTCAATGTTTTTATGTTCGCGTTCGGAGAGTTTCGGCGCTCGTTCGCGTTCGGTCCCGAACGTTCGGGTTCGGTCACCGAACCCGAACAGGATGCTACACAACTCAAAAAAATAAAGAAGAGGAGGACTATCGACTTCCGCATGTGCCTCGGAACGAAGGGCGGTCACCCGCGAAGTGGTCGGTTCCGAAGGCGTGGAGAGTGTCGTCGAGTCACTCCCGACGGTGCTCAGTTTCCCGATTTACCCTTGCCTTTCGACTGGCACGCCATTGTGTCGTGGAGATCGCTGTTACACCACAGACAATAGCGGAATCTTGTGCGTGCCTTGTATGCTTGCTTGGAGAGACCGTAATGGGACCATGGGGTTGGAGCTGCTGCACCGGGCCTGGGGCTAGATGTGGTCTTTGTCTTCGCCTTGCCGCATCCTCGGCCTTTGCTGGGGCGGCCACCTTCCCGGGTGGCTGCGAGTCTGTCCCCTTCATTGGCAGATACGGCCTCGCTAGTTTGGTCGTTTGGCGTTACCGCCACGACCACGACCACTTTCGGTCGATGTTGATCTCTGCTCAGGCCTGGCGCAGACGAACGCTGGAGATTCTTGGCCTCCTTGTTCGTGACAATAATATGTGTGGCCTTGTCGAAGAGTTCTGCCGGTGTCGCCAGGGTGTCCTCGACGTGAGTCAAGGCATTGTCCAACGTCGGACACGACGTCGAGATTAAGTAGCGTTTGATGGCTTTGAAGCCCATTTGGATGTATGGGACGGATGTCAAGCGTTGGTACTCGGCAATCCAATCAACACTCGGCAGCGTGCCTTGTTCGAAGACCATCAACTTGTCCATTGCCTTGATCTCCGGCGGCTCTACTTGGAACCGCTTATGCCATGCCGCCTTTAGATCCCCCCAGCTGATCTTGGTATGCAAGTCGGCAACCACCACTCCATACTTGGACAGGAGATTGTCCAGCCATGCTTGGCACGCGCCCCCCAAGCGGGAGTATAAGTATGTGTGATGCTTGGGCTCGCTGACGTAGTGTAGGTGCAACGTGAGCTCGAATTTGCGGAACCATGGAATCGGGTCCATCTTCGTCGAGTCGCAGAAGATCTCCTGCCCATCGAACTTTGGAGTTGTCTCGCGCGGTTCCGAGCTCGAGTGGTTGGCGGCAGTACAAATCCGTTGCTCCAATTGTTGCGTTGCGGTTTGCTGTAACTGCACGCCGTCCTGGAGGGAGCGGACGTCAATTTCCAATGCCTCGAGGCGATCAGAGGTGTTGGAAGAGCTGTCATCGGGGGCGGCGACGGGTCACTGCTCCTTCTGCCGGAGGCGGCTCTGGACTTGAGCCAATGTGTCGTCGAGGTTGTGGATGTCCTCCTGCTGTGTAATGCATGTTGCTAGGAGGTCTGTGAGATTGGAGAGGAGGAGAGCGATCTTGTTTTCACTCTCTTCCATCTTGCCATTCTCGGCCTCGGTCCGCCAATCCGCTGCCATTGTGAGCAAAGCACGCTCTCCGCTGAATATCTTCTCGCGACGTTGAACCCGTTCTTCATCGACAACCTTTGCTGCTGCCTCCTCGTGCTGGCGCTGCTGTTCAATTGCCAACTGACGTGCCTTCTCGGCGTCCTCTGCCTTCTGCTTTGCTGCGGCTGATACTGCATCCGACCGTTGCGTAGCTTCGGTAATCAGAAGCAGCATCCGTCCGTTTCCCCGGACTTCTGGTCCATGGCGGCTGTTTGCGAGCTCAAAAGCATAGACCAAGCTGGGGGCCTGCTGACGTGGTACTCCCTGCTGCTGACGTGGCACTGCTGTCGGCTGACGTGTCCTGCTGACGTGGCCTGCTGACGTGGTCTGCTGACGGGTCCTGCTGACGTGGCCTACTGACGTGGTCTGCTGATGTGGCAACTTACCAATGCCGCTGCAGGGGGTACCCGAAGACAGATAGAGAAGGTAAGGCGAGAGGGGGCAACAACATAGGTGGGGAGGGGTGGGTGGGGATAAATCGCCCAGATAAGGAGCCACTAATCAAAAAAGAAAAGTTTGAACTAATCAAAATTTTTTTCTCCCAACCTCCCTTGAAGTGCGAAATTATCACTGAGAGAAAAAAAAAATTGAACTTTGAGACTGCCAACGATTATCAGGTAGTGAAAATCATTGAACTGCGAATAAAAAAATTCCGAAAAGAAATAACAAGTATTCAGACTTACTCAGATGAGAGTATTCGCAGTTTGAAAAATTGTACTGCAAGAGGGATTTCCCGTACCGCTTTGAAAAAAACAGGTTTCGAAAAAAAATATTCCGAACTTCCAAATAACTGGAAATTGCAAACGGAAATCAAAATTTTCAAAAAAAGATATTCCGGATTTTCTAACAACAAAATTTTGAATTTTCAGAAGAAAAATGAAAACGGAAATTTCAGATGTTGCGCTATTGCGATTTTCCACAACAGAAATAGCGAGAAAAAAAAATCCAAGAAAGAAAAAAAAAAATCGATTTTTGGTAGTGAGGTCAAAATCGTGATTTGGGGGGCTAACTAGTGTACTCTAATCAATCAATCAAGACTAATCAGCTACCTCGTCCCCGCACACGTGTCATATCAGGTTGTCCCGATTCACGTGCGGTGTTCTGATACCAATTGTTACATGCCCAGTTGGGCGATGTACATATAAACCGAGGATCCGCAAGGTGATGAAAAGGACTGAATGGATAATGCAGTGCAAGTGGAATCTCAACAAGCAAAGTGCATTCCGATACATACTAAATCGTGCTTTATAGCGCAGGGAAGACTTTAGATACAAGTCCTGACCTGACCTGGAGTGACCTCTTTCGTGTAGTTTAAGATAGTGCAGCAGAATACTAGAATATTAATGACTAGCCCAATCAATGTTACAACGTAGACCAAACATACATCATTCTCACCACACGGAAGCCTGGCGCTATACATAGGAAGAGGCGCCAGGTCCAGTTCATGCACAAACGAAGAGGAGGGGAGAGATGGGAAAGTCGTCAACACCAAGTCTCGTTACAAGTCCCAAATAATCCCTCGTAAAAATGTCTGAAGTCCAACGTCGAGTCTAGATCCAAATGTCACCAAACTCTCTTTCTCTCTCTGCAATGACTTGCTGATTTCTGCTGCCGAGATCTGAGTGCGAGGTTGTATAGACGTGTCTTAGGGTCAGATTCGTAATTTTGTTTGTGTCAGGGACTAACCGCCGGTCGAGTCCTGAGGGAAATTCGTGAGGGACATATCAGCAATTTACACGAAAATTGCAGGCCCGAGTTCCCCTTAGCCGTTACTGCCCTTAGCAGACCCGGGCTATCACTAGGACAACAGGCCCATCTGGGCCTTGGGCTGTAGAGATGGTCTAGACGCCGTATAGCCGGGTAGGGCCCAGGCCGAGCAGGCCAAACTGATGCGGTACCGGTCCAGTAGGTCTAGGTCTAGAGTAGTTTATTAATAGGACCGAGCCTCTCAGGCGCAGTTGCTTTGTACAGTGTTGGGTACAAGGATTGGAGATCCTTTGGCCGTGCAGCCCTGGACATGGAGGCAAAACTTCATGTTCAGGCCCCTTCTTCTGACAGAAGAAAAGGAGCCTTCCCTCGTGGTGGCAGAAAGGGAAAGGTTGCCTTCACTCATGTAGGATCTGGATCAGCCAGTGATTCAGACTCCCAGGTCGATGTACCATCAGCTGGGACTGAGTCAGTTGCTGGTACAGATGTTGCAGCAGCCCTGACTCAGGCTGCTTTGGGAGTTCTGCGGCAGCAGAAACGGTTTTCTCCCGCCACAGCATCAACCAGTTCAAAAGGGAAGGACAAGGGACGTCGCCCTTCTACCTCTACCCAGGGCCCTAACCTGCCAAAGGACGTCTGTATGCCAGCTGACCCACTCAATCCCTCCACTCTCCCCTGGCATGATCTCAAGATCCAGGAAGGAGTCTAGAGAAGAAGGAAGGATCGACGGGTCTGCCTGCGGTGTGCTCAGTAGACTCCTGCACCTTTAAAAGAGAGTTGTGTGAGAGTCGGCACTTCTTGAAAGACTGCCCTTATATGCCAGGCCCGGGTCAGTCAAAAAACTGAAGCAGACCCTGGGGACTGCAGTTCCTTCCAGTGTCGCACCTTCATCTTCTTAGGAAGATGAATCTGCAGCTGCTTCAGTTGAGACACCACAAATTGTGGGAGCTGCACGAGCAGCATCCTTTTGCTATGAGGATCCTGACCCGGACCAGGAACCGGAGGAGCATAAGCTGCAGACCCTTGCTGCCTTTTTCTTTCACGTGAAAGAACAAAGGAAAGTCAAGTCTGACCTCATCCTACTCCGGCCCCTGATCAATAACATCAGTATCAAGGGACTGTTGGATTGTGGAGCCACCAGAAACTTCATGTCCCCTAGAGCTGTCAAGAAATTGCACCTGGGCATGAAAGTTGAGCAGATGTAGCACCCGCTGCAAGTCAGGATCGGTGACTCCACTACTATCATCATCAGGGAGAAGGTCAGGGGCATCCCTGTTACCTTCGATAGTGCTGGGGAAGTCAGACACCATCTGAACTTCTACATATTCCTTGACCTACCCTTTGATCTGGTGTTCTCGATGCAGTGGCTGAGGGCAGTCAACACTAGGATCGACTGGTAGATTCCTACGGTTGAACTCCCCAATGGACAGGGGGTGTATCAGACTTGCAGGATTGCTGTTGAACACCACCCAAAAACCTCTTGCTAAGGTTTGAGAGCGAGAGAGTTCTACTCCCTCTCGCGCCAGTATGACCATGAGCGTCTGTTTTTAGCTCAAGTCAAGCAAACAGACGCTGCACCTATTTCCTGTCCTCCTGAGATACAACAAGTTGTGGATCAGTTTGTTGATCTGATGCAGGATCCCTTGGGATTGCCCAACCGGCAAACCAAGCATCACATCGAGCTGCTACTTAGAGCGGTCCCTCCCAAGGGCCGCATCTACAGGATGTCCCCTGCCGAGCTTGGGAGCTCAAAAAGCAGTTAGAGACCCTGACCAGCAAAGGCTGGATACGGCCGAGCACATCTGAATTTGGCGCACCAGTGCTCTTCGTCCCGAAAGGGAATGGAGAGTTCAGAATGTGCATTGACTACAGGGGTCTCAAAAAGATCACTAGGAAAAGTACAGAGCCTATTCCTAGGATCGATGACCTGGTGGATATGGTACAGGGTTGCACAGTGTTCAACAAAATTGACCTCAAATCTGGTTATCACCAGATTGAGATGGCAGAGGAGGATGTCCACAAGACCGCCTTCAAAACCAGATATGGTACCTACGAATACCCGGTTATGCCATTTGGACTTTGCAACGCCTCAGGTACCTTCCAGATTGAGATGCACCACATCTTCAGGCCTTACCTGGACAAGTTCATGGTTGTCTACCTAGATGATATTTTGGTATTCAGCCGAACTACCTGGGAGCATGCGGAACATCCGACTCTGGTTCTTCAGTCGTTACCTGACAGCCAGTATAAGATCAACAGAGAAAAGTCTTTTTTTGGAGTTCCCTCTGCCATCTACCTGGGTCGTGTAATATCTGGAGATGGCCTGGCTCCTGAAGCGGCCAAGATAGTTGCTGTTCAAGAGTGGCCACAACCACAAATAGTGAGGGATGTCAGGTCCTTCATGGGTTTGGCCTCGTACTACATAAAGTTTGTCAGGAACTTTTCTGCAGTGGTTGCACCACTAACTAACCTAACAAAGAAAGACACTCCTTTCCTTTGGTCCCTTCCCTGTCAGTTGGCCTTCACACGACTCAAGAAGGACTTGACTCGTGCACCAGTGTTGAAGTTGCCTGACCCCACTCTGCCATTCATCCTGACCACTGACGCCAGTCAGTATGGCATTGGGGCAGTTCTTCAGCAGGATGATGGGAATGGTCTACGGCCCGTGGAGTTCATGAGTAAGAAGATCAAGACCCAGAAGCTTCATGATTCTACCTACGAGAAAGAGTTATATGCTCTTGTTTGTGCCCTAAAGCATTGGAAGCACTTTCTCCTGGGCAGGCACTTCAAGATCTTCTCTGATCATTCCACCTTATAGTGGATGAAGTCCCAGGGAGAGCTAAATGCAGATGCCCTCTCTCGTAGGCCTGACTCTTTTGCGTTGATCTCCTCCACTCACTCCTTCGGAGAGGAGACCCGTCAGACTATTGCCCGTTTGCTGCCTCAGGACACGACTTATGGACCCATAGTCGGGAATTTGCAAGCAGACCCCAACTCTGAACCAGGCTATGCCCCGAGTTCAGACTTGCTGTACACTTACAGCAGAGGTGAGGAACGCTTGTGCATTCCCCAGAACCAACGTCTCAGGACATTGCTGATGTCAGAATGTCATGATGCACGCGTACGTTTTGGGTTCTTAAAGTCATATGCCGCCCTGTCGCAGCGCTTCTTCTGGAAGGAGATGCGGAGTGATCTGCTGCACTATATTGAAACCTCTGAGCTCTGCCAGAGAAACAAGGTCCAGCGTAGGCCTCCTTTGGGACTGCTCAAACCCTTGCCCATACCTGATGGTCCTGCTGAATCTATATCTATAGATTTTACAGATCTAGGCAAGACCACCCCTCGTGGCATGCGTCAGGTAATGGTCTGTGTGGACAGGTTCTCTAAGTACGCAGAGTTCATCCCCTTGCCAAAAGTAGCGAGGGTCCCCGCTGTGAGAGCAGCGTTTTCAGAGAGGTGGGTCACTCACCATGGACCGCCCACTTCTGTAGTCAATGATAGAGATCCACGATTCTGCAACAATGAGTGGCAGTCCTACTGCAAGGACTACCTACACTCACAATTGGACATGACTTCTGGCCGTCATCCTGAAGCCAATGGTCAGGCTGAAGTGATGAACCAAGTCTTGTTTCAATTGCTGCGACCTGTCATCTCTCCAGATCAACAGGATTGGGATCTCCACTTGGCTCGTGCACAACTTTTTTACAATACCTCTATCCACTCTTCAACGGGGTTCAATCCATATCGTTTGCATTGGGGACGTGAGCCACGACAGCCTCTTGATGACATCATCAATAAGGCTAAGTCTGATTTGACTCCTGGCACTGCGGAGTTTACCAGGCGCTACAGAGATGATGTGGAAAGGGCACGGATGAACTTGTTCAAGGCTCGACAGACCATGATTGAACAAGCTAATCGCCACCGACGTCCTTCCCCCATTCGTACTGGCGATTACGTCTGGGTAACCAGTTCAGAGTTGTCGAGGGAAGAGGATATCTCTCCCAAGCTGTTGCCACGATACCTGGGTCCGTGGCAGGTGTTAGATACAGTGGGCTCCGATCCTTTTGGCCCGTCGTACGTTATCGACGTCCCACTGCATCTACAAACCTATCCGTTCTTCCATGCATCCAAGCTGCTTCCCTTCATCCCAGCTGATGCATTCCCATACCGGCCCCCTCAGTTTGGTCCACCGATCCCTGGCAAGGGATATGATGTGGAGTCCATCGAGGACGAGTGGGGCACTGGCCCCGACCGGTAGTATCTTGTGAAGTTCTGTTTCCAGCCTCATACCGAGGACAGGTGGTTCACCAGGAAAGAACTTCTCAAGACAGCAAAGTCTGTAGTACTTCGTTACGAGGCGGCTCAGAAAGGGAACCTTCCTCGCCGATCTCCTCGACTGCACCCTTAGCTCGGAGGTCCTCACTCCCCGGGAGGGTAAGCCTGCAATGACTTGCTGATTTCTGTTGCCGAGATCTGACTGTGAGGTTGTATAGTCGTGTCTTAGGGTCAGATTCGTAATGTTGTTTGTGTCAGGGGCTAACCGCCGGTCCAATCCCGAGGGAAATTCGTGAGGGATATATCTGCAATTTACACGAAAATTGCAGGCCCGAGTTCCCCTTAGCCGTTACCAGCCTTAGCAGAGCAGGGCTATCACTAGGACAGCAGGCCCATCTGGGCCTTGGGCTGTAGAGACGGTCTAGACGCCGTATAGCCGGGTGGGCCCAGACCGAGCAGGCCAAACTGATGTGGTACCGGTCCAGTAGGTCTAGGTCTAGAGTAGGCTAGTCTATTAATAGGACTGAGCCTGTAGTTTAGGGACTTTTGGCTTTTCATTTTCGCGACGCAGCGTTCGGAGCCAAGCAAGTTTGGTGGAGGCGATTGTCTACAGGCGGCACCCTGAGACCCTCCTCGTGGACGGCAGCCATAGCCAGCCTACTGGAGCTTGCCATAGCTGGGGCACCCTCTGAGCATCTACCCCTGAGGGTATCTGCGATTGGCTGGGCTATTGAGAGGCTCTTCACTGAGTGTTTGTGGGTGGACCGCTGTCGCCCCTCTCTCTTCTGGGAGTTTCAGGCTTCATCAGTGGTGTGGCAGCCATAGCTGCCAGCTTTTTCGTCAGAGTTGTTCAGTGGCACTAAAAACTCCATTGCAGCTCCTGTTCCTCATCTGGGCGGTTGGCGCTGGCCTCTGGGAGGCCATCTCAGTGTTGCACTACTAACTGGGTGTAGGGTAGAAAGCGGCGTGTGGAGTTCTGCGGGTGGTGAGATACTGAAACAAACTCTGTAACGATAATTGGTTCGAGTTGGCTCATCATCAGTGTAAATCCTATTGTTTGAAACGGTTTCACCCAGTTGACCTGACATTGCAGTCACAGAGATTCGATCCCTAGACCTGTGCAACAACCCTGTACATTGATCCCGTGTGCTGAGTGAGATTCGATCCCTAGACCTACCCTATACGTGTACATAGACCTTGTGAGCTGAGTAGGATTCGATCCCTAGACCTGTTCCACATCCCAGCTTAGTCTGTAGTTTGGGCAGTAGGGCTTGATCCCTAGGTCTGTAGATTAGCAGCTAGGTCTGTTACCGTTAGGCTTAGGAAGGTCTGTTCTAGAAGTCTCTATCTGAGTCTACTGAGGCCTAGAGTCTGTCTGTAAGTCTGTAGGCTCTAGAAGGTCGTAGGTCTCTGTAGGCCAGTCCAGTCAGCAAGTACCAGGGGTAAGGGCTGCACGTGGGAAAGGTTCTGGAGCACGCTGTGGGTTTCACACGTTTTGGCCCAGAAGGCCAAACGTCTGGAAACATCCCTGGGGCCACACGTTTTGGCCCAGGCCCACACATTTTGAGGCAGGCCCGGGTACCTCCAAAGAGGTATAAATAAAGAGGCAGCGTCCAGCCATTCATTCATTCGCCTGTGAGCCATGCAGAAGAGCTGCCTTGGTATCTTGTGCGTGGAGGTCTGGAGGTGCCCGGAGAGGAAGTGGGCTGTGGAGAAGACAGCGGCCATAGCGAACCAGCGAGGGAGACACCGGCGGCCATAGCTTGGAGGAGGAAGACGACGGCGGCCATAGCTGCCCAGCTGTTGGTGTAGACAGTGTGTACAGAGTGTGACTGGCTGTGCAGTGTGGACATTCAGGGTGATCCTCGTACGTGCGTGCAAGCGAGAGTGAGGGAGACTGAGGCTGGTGGTAGAGACAGTGTTCGGCGGCCATAGCCACAAGTTGTACAGTTGTTCAGACTGAGTTTAATACAAGTTCGTTGTTGTTTCTGAGTTGAAGGAGTTCAGTTTTACCATCGGTTCTCAAGTGTGCATGTTGTGAACAAGGTCCAGAGTCGAGTCTGATTGCATGTTATCCTCGCAGGTGTCTTCTTGTGATTGGTTGTTGGGAGTATTGTCAGAGAGTGAGAAATACTGTGTCTCTCTCCCCATCTGTGCATGGTTGTATTCCGCTGCCTACTTTGATCTGTGTGCAGTTTGGACTCTGTCTCCTCTCCCCTTTGTGTTATGCATCTATGGGCGTGTATGAGATTGTCTGTGAGTGAGTGGCGGTGAAAATCGTCAAACAACGAAGTTCATAACCTCTCATAGTCTGCTGATGCAGTGAAGTCAGATAACGAGAGGGTGAGAGGGAGATGGTGGACTGGGAAGAGGAAGAAGAAGAACTCTCTCTCTCTCGTATGCCAGGTACTAACCTGTGAAGGTGGCGCTGTGCTGCAGGTACCTCGAAGACGAAGCTGGAGCGATGTCGCTGCACGTAAGTCCCTCTGGCCTCCGCCCAATCTCTCTCTCTATAGTACTACTCGAGCTGCTATGGCGCCCAGCGCTGAAGACTACAGCTAACGCTACTAACGCCCAGTGCTGAAGACTACTGCTAACGCTACTACTACTACTGCAGTGCTCCTCCAGAGTGCTGCTGCCGAATCCTGAAGACTATCTCCTGCCTCCTGAACTGCACGTGAAGTGCCTGGGAAGTACCTAGGAACTACCTGCCTGCCGGCAGGGCGGGCCAGTCCTATATAGTGCTGGCCCGTTCAGGAGGCTGCTCTTGCCAATGCTGAAACGTGCCAGACCCTGGTGTTGAAGCTCAACCAGGGGTTGTCTTGAAAACAGGCCCGAAATGGCCTGTGCTAAAACCCTGGTTTGTTGCCTGAGTTTCAGGGCAGGTTGAACTGATGAGGGCCGAAAATGGCCCTCAGTTTCAGGCTGAAAACACTCAGGGCCGGAAAGGCCCTGATTTAGCCTGAAACGACACAGGGCCTGTAGGCCCTTGTTTTCAGGCTTTCAGGCTGAAACGACACAGGGCCTGTAGGCCCTTGCTTTCAGGCTTTTGGCCTGAAAACGTCACGGGCCAAGCAAAAAACGCAAGCGCGT